GGGCAAAAGTGAAAAGGCAAAACATGCAGTAATAAGGAAACAAACAACAAGCAACCGGTCAGCAGGGCGAAAAGAGACGGTATTGGCTCCTCATCTGGATCGGAGTCCCGGGGAGTTCCAAGAGGCCAGAGCGGTGGGGGGGAAGAGGGAATATAAAATGTGGTTATGTCATCATAAGGCCCACTCCGGTCCGGAACCGAAAACAACCCGCGATATCGCCTCTCGCCCACTCTTACCACCGTCCTGCAACTGCCAGCCCCTACCACCCGCAACTCACCCCCCGAGAGGCAACCACCTACCTGCAGCAACCGGTACTTGATAACCGCCTCGCCCAGGATCCTGGGGCTGTTGGCGGCCGTGTTGTGACGTCCGATTAACTCTAGCGCCAGCAGCCGAGGCGGAGGCAGCGGAGGTAGCGGGCTGGCGGGGGAACCCCCCGCCGCCGCTGCTGGCGGCGCTGGCTGTCTGAGCGCCACTGCCACGTCCACTAGAGCGCAGCCGTCGGGGGTAGCCACGTTGGCGGCCGCCGTAAGGCCCATCTTGCGCAGCACCGAAACCAGCTCAGCTTGGTACCTGCGTTTCCGCATGGCACATGATGTAAACGGAGGGCATGTATAGCATGCTATAACAAGGACGCAACCAAGCAAAACAAAAGTCAATAAGATCTTTTACATATAAAAAATACGGTAGGAGAGCACGATGTGCTGAGAAAAATCCCAACTACCCAACCGCGCGTAAATCCCTAAGAGAGACAGAGCCGAGCAGTACAGAACGTAAAGGAACTCTGAAGCTGTTTTTTCGACAGGGAACACCTCAAAGCAATGTCGCTACGCACGTTCTCCGCGCGGCACACTGCACCACCGGCTAGCAAAAGAGTTCCTGCACTATATCTATATCTATATAGGTCGCGCTATAGCATATAATGAAGAAAAGGTCTTTGCGCTGCGGCTGCGCTCGGGGGGGGGGACCAGCCCCAAACATATGCAAGGAAACAAGAAATTACAACACGCCACCCGCAGTAGGGGGGCCCCCCTAGGTAAGGCCCTCCTACCGATTGGGCGGCTTCCCCCAGGCGCTGGGCCAGTCTCGACCTCCACGCAGCCACGAGGCGGGCTCGGACCTCCGGCGGCAGGGCGGCGTTGAGCGGGGAGTCTACTCGGTCCGCCTGGGCGGCCAGCAGGCAGGCCGCCACCTGCGGCAGCGGCAGCAGACGGCGGCAGCAACAGACGGCGGCGGCAGGACGGCGGCGGCAGGACGGCGGCGGCAGGACGGAGGGAGAGTTGGTGCGGTTGAACGCCGGCGGCGGCAGCGGCGGCGGCAGAGGTGCCGAATGGCGGATGGGAGAGCGAGGAGGGCGGGGGGGCATGGCCATGCGTAGTGAGAGGAACAACAGCACAGGGGGGATGGTTGCGGCGGTGGAAAGCCTCCGAGACTGTGTGGCGAATACACTTCGGGGAAAAGACGAGACAGAATTATAATGATAAGGTAAATAATGATATCGATGCGCACGTGCGAAGACGGCTAAGGACAGAGTAACCAGGGGCATACTGCCGCTCTACCCGCCGTTGTATTGCTCAGACTTCCCCTTAAAGGACTCGCATATGCACACGCACACACATACATACGCACACGCACACACATGCATGCGCAGACACACACATACGCACACGCGCACACACTCACGTACACACATACATACGCACACGCACACACGTATACACACACACACGCACACATACACACACACCTGTACGGCCTGTTTGGAGAACTCCCGCAGCCGTTCTTGTTGCTGTCGTTGCTCTTCCTCCAGCGGCTCCTTCCTCAGCTCGTTCCCGCCAGCACCGTCGTCACCGTAGCTCTCCGCCTCATTCCCCCCAGCAGCAGCAGGCGGCGCCCACACCGCCCGTGTTGCCGCCCCTGTTGCTGCATGTGCGGCGCTGGCTCCTGCACTGGCCGTCGATAGAGTGCCGCCCTCGCGCAGCCATGCACCCAGCTGTTGAGATAACCGCTGAGCAAACGATCCGTTGTGGTGCCGGAAAACTGATAACGACCACAGCAGCCCCGTGACGGTGTGTAACGGAGGCGGTGACGATGACGATGACGGGGCAGCGGCGGCGGCGGCGGCGGTGGGGCCGCCACCGGCAGTGTATTGCAGCCAGCTGCGCTCCGCCGCCGCCAGGATCAGCGGTCCCGGGTGTCGATTCAGCTTGGCGCAAGCCCACAAGGTTTTGAAGATGTCGGCGGGGGCCCATGGCTCTGAGGGTAGCTGGAAGCGACCCGCGGGTCCGTCCAGTTGCTGCTCTAGGCGCTGGTTGGCCTCCGCAGCGGCGGCGACCATGGCGGCGGCGGGGTCAAAGCCCGCCGCGCCCTGGCTTGCCGCTGCCGCGGCCGGCTCCGCTGCGGCGGCCGGCAGCACGGGCTTCGCGGGGCGAGAGAGGAGTTGGAGGTCCTGTCGCGGTTCCGACGCGGCAGAGGCGTTGACGTCAGCACCAGCAGCAGCAGCAACAGCAGCAGTAGACGCCCTAGCGCTGTTGCTCATCCCTGTCACGGCGGCCGCGTTGCTGTGATCGCCGGGGCCTCCAAGCATCTGGCCATCTCCACTACTACTGCTGCTACTGCTGCTACTGCTGCTGCTACTGGCTGCCTCACTCGTGCCCGCTCCATCCATCTTACCGAGACCAACCTCACTCGCGGCCGACCGCTCCGCACTCGCCGCCACAGCTTCTCCCACCGCCACGGTAGCCGCCGAAGGCGGCACCACGGCGAAGAGAGCCCCGGCAGGCGCCCCCGCTGCTGCTGCAGGCACTGCTGCTGCACTCACCGTCGCCGCGGCAGCGTTCGCGGCAACATCACGCCCCGAGCCGCTGCTGCTGTGGGCAACGCGAACCGAGGCTGCGCGACCGGACTCTAAAAGCGACATTTCCGACGCCAGGGAGGGCTGCGGTGGGAGGCCCAGAAGGGCAGCCTGGGGTAGGTAGGGCGGTTGGGGGGTTGGGGGGAAACTTCGGGCAGGCAACACCGGCATTAAAAATAAATATCTATTAATGACATAGTTTAGATCGTAATACTTCAAAAATAATAATACAAAAATAATATACAATATAATAAAATAATAATATACAATAATGATGATGATTATAAACAGGTTAAATGGTCTCACAAAGTCTTTTCGAAGCACCTTTACCAACCTGGAGGTCCTCCAGCAGCTCGGGCGTGTCCTGTCGCAGCGACGCCAGCGCCCACATGAGCGTCGTCAGCTGGGGAACCCGACTCCGTCGCTCCAGGGGAAGTCGGGACGCCACACGCACCAGCAGCGCCTCCACGGGAGGACACTGCCAGCGGAGCCGCGCCAGCGCCGTCAGCAGCCGCATCGCGTCGTCAAGGCTAATGCCGGCGGCGGCCGCAACGCCGCCTGACCGCGGCGTGGCCTGCGGCGACGCGGCTGAGGCTGGGGCGGGGGCGGCGGCGGCAACGGTGGCGGCGGCGGCGGCGGGAGAGTAAGGTGGAGCGGTTGCGGTGGTTGCTGTTGTTCCTGCACTACTCACAGCGGCTGTCGGTGGCTGCTGCGACGGTGGCGGCGGCGACGACGTGCACAGCTGGGTAAGACGCGCCAGCGCCACCCGGCGCAGCAGGTCCACCCGCTGTGGTGTGGGGCCTCGTCGCCCAG